GGGGGGGGGGGAGAGTCATAATATCAATGAATTATTGATTCTTATGCGCGCGCGCGCGGAAGAAAGAGAAAGAGTGACAGAGAAAAAGCAGGAAGGAGGCAAAGAAAGGAGGACCACATCGACAATCAGATCACACCGAAGAATTTTCCTCGGCTCGGTCGTCTCGTTACATACAATGAAACTTTTACAAGACAGTCCCCCCGCAAATCCCTACGCACGTACATCGTGCATCACAGGTGGCACGCTGTTGGCGCAGGAAGACGATTTCTGAAGCGTCTGCTATGACCCGAAATGCGCCGCGCCACGCCTAGGAAACCGATGTTTTCCCCGCTCTCGTCTAAATAAGATATGTCCCCCGCCTTCTAAATATTCAAGAGATACCGCCCAGACTCTCTTTCTCCCTGTAACGTCGGACCACGTTCATACCTACCTACCTATCTGCCCACCCGCTCAGCAGCCAGCCACCCCGTCGCTTTCTTTCTTCAACAACAGCGGAGCAGCGAGCGCGCGCGCACGCACACGGAGCCGCCGCAACGCGGGTGCAAGCATACGAAGTGACACGAACGAATGAAACGCATAAAAGGGAAAAATGACCAGGGCCGACGGGACGGCTTGTGCCGGGCTTCCCGTATTTCCCCCGGGTTTTCCCGCCGGCGTTTTCCCTCCGACATCCCTAGCCAGCCGCCCTTTCCGCGCCCGCGCTGCGCCCTATCGTACTCCTCCTCGTGCTGTTGTCTGATACACGTATTCGACGGAGCACGTGCGCCCAGGTACGGCAACGTGTGCACGCGCGGCTTTGCGCTCGCGCGCATGCTGCAATTCGTGAAATGAAATTTAAACAATACACGAACCGCCGCCGCCGCCGCCGGGATCCACCGTCGCGCCGGGTCGGCCACGTGTGGGCGCGCGCGTGCTCGTATATATGACGAAGTGTTTAAAATTTATTCAATAAATCGTTGCCTACGTTGGATAGATTCCAAAGGACCGACCAGGACGCCTGATCTTCTCATCCGCGGCTGACTTTCTTCTCCTCTTCTGAAGAAAAACGCTCACTTATTATTTATGCACGCCGCTGCTCACGCGACGATTCTGCGCGCGTTGCAATTCGTGAAATTTAAACAATACACGAGCCACAATCCGCCGTAGCGAGACAGCCACCTGACTGTGGGTACATACACATAGAAAGTATCCCACTGCTTAGAAAGAAAAAATATTTTCTTTTCTACCGCTTTTCTCTATTCTACTGTTAAGAAAAGCGCTTACTCAGTTTATTTCTCATCTTTTGAGTGATGGTTATCTTTAACAAGAAATATTTTCTTGACGATAGTCTTAAGGTATACTCAAGAATTTTAGAAAAGCTCATTATCTTCTATTCAAAGAAACATTTATTTCTTTTGCAAAAATATTGTAAAACTATTGGGGGAAAAGTTGTTTTGACTTTTTCTAGTAAGCATACATACACAAATCGAATTTTTATTTTAACCCTTTAAGGCGCATAATTCATGGAACATTCTAGTTTTTTAAAGAAATATTGTCAAAAACACTCTAGCACATTTATAAGGTTTTAACTGCCCGATCCTAAGTGGCTCCTATTGATACCAGTGATACTTAAAGGGTTAATTTAATATTCTTAATTGAAATTTTGAAATTATTAGAATTATTAGAATTCAGAATGTATTTTGAGTAAATTGTCAGTGCTTACAATAAACTTATGATATATTTGCGGATAAACTTATGAAATACTTGAAGCAAGTAACATTTATTTTAATGCAACATATATTTATATGTGTGTGTATATATATATATATATATATATATATATATAGAAAAGTATCATTCTACTACGAAGAAAACGATTACTCATAATTTACTTTTGTTCTTTGAAGTGCTAATTATCTTCTACTGCATTCAAATAAATATTACTTGCTTCAAGTATTTCATAAGTTTATATAAGTGCTGCAAATCTATCATAAGTTTATCATAAATAGATTTATTTAAAATACATTCTGAATGCTAATATTGATTATTTCCAACAAAGAATATTTTCTTAATGAAATAGTCTTAAAGTACATTCATCACTAATTTGAGAAAGTCTCATTATCATGAGAATTATCAAATAAAGAATTTATGCTTTCTGCTATAATATTATAAAATTTTATCAAAGAAAAAGTTGACTGTACTCTGCGTGGCAAGCAAAACAAATTTTCGTTTTATTTTAACTTTCTTTGAGACTTACGTGATTTGCTAATACCAAAAATGATATTTGCTCTGTGAAATAGATTTTTAATGAATGGAAATGGAATGTATTGAAAGTTTATTTTGAGCATAAACTTTAATTTGTAATTAAGCGTTCTCGCACGAAAACGTTTATAGCTTCAAAAAGATAACGTCAATTTCGTGACTATATTTACCAGGATTCAGAACGTATTTTGAATATAAACGATGAATTTATGATAAATTTTTAAACTTACAATATATTTAGCCTAACCTACAATGTGCTCTTTGCTTCTTTGTTCTGTTTTTTCTGGTTAAGGCTTAAAGTTTAAGTGATCTGATCTACAATACGCTCTTTGCTTCCTGTTTTTTGTTTTCCACCTTTTTCTGATTAAAAGCTTGAGGTTTAAATCAGAAAGAAATAAAGAGAAAGAAACAGGAAGCAAAGAACACACTAAAGATGAAGGTTTATAGTGGACAGAAACTTGTGTGTGTGTTATGGATTTATAAACTTACGAAATATCTGAAACAAGCAGCACTTAGTCGAACGCAGCATGTATTTTTCTGTGTATGACGTTTAAAATTTATTCAATGAATCATTAGCTCCGTTGGATATGTTCCAAAGCGCTCACGAGGACGGCTGATTTTCTCGCGCGCGCTTCTTTTCTTCTGAAGGAAGTTTTCCCCGCCATTTATGCGCGCCGCTATTTGCGCGACGACTTTACACGGGTACGAACGAGTCGGCGCGAGCTAAAGTGTCTCGCGAACATTTTGCGCTCGCGATCGTAACTGGTCTCTCGCGACCAATTTACGTAACTTATTACGATAATTAAGCTCTCCAACGTGTACGCGCTACGTGCTACCGTTTTGTATCTTACGTTATCAACGTACACACATACAAACGCACATACATGCACACACACATGCACACACGCGTAGCGTAACGGTTTATTCTCGCGTTACCGCGTGTAATCATGACACCGACATGAATTATAATAACGCGATTTGCCCGTCGGGCCGGCGATGGTAGAACTGACGCCGGCGCGGAAGTTACGTTATCAAATTTTCACGTGAGCAATTGGCAGATACTTTCCGTGCGAGCGAACGAGCGAGCGAATGAACGAACGAACGAACGACTCGGCCATGGATCTGTGAATTAAATATCCACGTAGTTAGGCGTTTATTGCCGCGCATTTAGCATGTAACCTCGTACAATTATAATTCTCGCATCACACGAGCCGCAGGCGCGCGTCACTTCGCCGGTGAGAACGTGGTGCGCCTCCACACGAGATGGACACACGTACACGCGTAGGTGCGGGGCTCCTCGCGCTGTTCGTTGACGCACAAACGCAATAATAATGCTGGACATGCCGGCAACAAACTCACATTCGACGTCCACGGTGATCCTCTTGCTGACCGTAGGCGGCACACCATTGGTCGCGATGCAGAGATAAGCGCCCATTTCGTTGCGCGTGATCCTCGTCAAGTTTAATTGCTCGCCATCATACATGGCCACTGAAACCAGAAGCGGGAATTGATTCAGCTCGGTCGAGGGCGCAAATATAGTTTGGGGAAACGGACAGGCGCCTTCGCGCTAAATGGGTAAACAGCGTTTCATCCTTGTTATCTCGCGCGAGCCCGTTAGGACGGGCTATGCAAATACTTCGGCACGAAATTTCGCAACCGAATCTGCGCGAATTCTGCTTGCCGCGCCCGCGCACGGTAAATGACCGGCCTCCGACCGCAAGGACGAAATCAAACGCTGGGATGGAGAGCGCTCGCTTACAACGTACGGATAACCGGTAACCACGAATATCGAGAATTACCACTCGGCCAGCCTCCGCCGCGAAGATCACGAATTACGTACATCGAGTGGCGTTATGCGTGGCGGCATGTGCGTGCTTCGGAGAAATTATTGCTGCGCTTGGAACTAAAATATTCGATTTGGTTGGCATTACCGCACTGAAAAAAGACTGGTAATTATTAGTTACAGAATTTCGAATGAAAAAATTCGGTAACTAATACCAAATGTGATAATAATGACCAAATATATAGTAAGTTTGACGTGTACGAAAGACTTCTTAATCGCAGTCAAGTGGACTAAAAGTTTTAATAGCTAAAGTGATATTTGATACGGCACATAAGGAGCAAGCACGGATGTCTTAGTGCTATTAAATACTAATATTACTTTTTAATATTAATATGATTGTGGGAGGATAAAATCCAGTATGTTAAACGCGCGTATCGAAATTGTTCGATTATCGTACACGGAGAATCAACCTTCCATACTTAGACCGATCCTTGAGTCCCAATTTTTATATATATATTTTTTATTAAAATCCTAAAACCCCCCAAATAAACCGATGACTCAAATAGATTCCTTATATATGCTGCGAAAAAACTGCTTCCGCCAGGACTCGAACTTGAAACCTCTCCACTTTCCGGGCGGGACGCCTTTCTATTCGGTCATCGAGGCTTCGACAGTAATCTCGCAACACAATGTTTATAAATCCTCTAAGATGTAAGTTGAGAGAGAAAGAACGAAAGAGTCGATCTCGTAAGAGATGTTATTATATGAGAGAGAGAGATAACATATCCTTCCTGTCAATGCTTAAGATAAACCGAAATTAATAGTAGTCGCCAAATATTTAACATCTATTGTTAAGTATGTTATGACTCTTATCGGATATTTGGTAAGTGTTAAAATTCTGTTTGACAAAATATTTGGTAACTATTAATATTTATTTTATTAAAGCAACGAAATATCTGGTGACTGTATCAACTGTGTTTATATTAATATATATCACCTATTGATATTCGTCGCATATCGATTGTTGTTGAGTTGTTTTCAATATTTGCTAGTAAATATGCATGGAAAAGAAAAGAATGGTTGCGCCAGCCAAAAAAATAGTAAAATATGGCAGAGTGTTTTTCTTTCTGGCTTCAGGAATCAATTCTTATGCTGACGTTGCCTGAAAACAATGCATTTTTGAGTTTGGTAAATAATAGTAAATGCATTTTTGAGTTTGGTAAATAATAATCATCCGGTAGTTTGACTATTACCAAAGTATTTGGTTATTTCTTGTTTTTATCACATAATATGATAAGCATATCACTAAACGTTATAGTTTTATTTAAATAAATTGTTTGGCGATACGTAACGCATAGATTGGTAATAGCAACCAAGTTTCGGCAACAATCATCAAATCTTGACAAAACAAACGTCAAGTCTTGCTAAGGTTATTTGTTAACCAAATTATTTGATTGTATTCACCTACACGTTGTATGAGGCTATTTCATCAAAGCATCTGGCAACTATTATCCAGAGGCCTGATGGTTATTACCAAACCTTTTTTTTTAATGTATCGATCCGATATGGGGAGACCGGCGCGCTCGAACGAAGTAGCGAACTTGCAAGAGCCCCGGAATATCCGGCCGTTTTTATTGCCGCGTGATTTACGCCCCCGGATATCTACGTTGGTCTATTATGAAAGTTCGCAGCGGAGCTTATATTTTAGAGAAGTAAGATTATAGTAAAATTATAGGAGTCACGAGAGAAAGAGGATGAGGGAGAGAAGGACAAAGAGGGAGGGCGAGGTAAAGAGAGAAGGAAGAAGAAGAAACGGGGGAATGTGCAGTGAGGGGTTAATAGTCCCAGAGTCGTCAAACTTACTCGATAACGTTAGGATTTTTCTTCCATTAGGATCCTTTTTTGCCGGAGCGAGTTTCGTGTGAAGTCACCATGTGACTGTTACGAGTAGCTCACGGCGACGCGGCTATTAAGCGAGACTCGCGTGATCGCGATTTTCGCTGTCATTATCGGCGAAGATGAATGCGTCGGCTTCGTGTCTACGTTGCATCGGGCGACGATTTACGAGGGAACTTGCGGTGTCCTTTTATTATTACGGAGAAAGAGCCGGCACAGCTCGATATAGAAGCGAGTCGCGCAGAGAAGACGAGGCGGAACGATTGGCGTCTCGTTACGAAAAATCGGCGGCATCGAGAGTCGCTCTTGTTGCGGGTGACGGAGAAAATTCATCATTTACATTCGTCACGCTGTTAACAAAAACCATCCGACTCAAGCGAGCGCTGGAACGTGATAACGTGAATCCTTTCGCACGATTTCTCTTAAAGAGCAGCGGTTTTTAAAAAAGAACAATGCTGTAAAAGGGTCAAATTTATCCACAAATAAAACATGAAATCGGGCTATCTTTTTTTGGACCTACTGAACTCGAATATGAAACTTAAAATTGCTCAAGTTCCGGGAAGCTTCGTGAAAATGTAGCTTTTCTACAGAAAAGTTTTTCTACAAATACTTTCTAATGAACGATTAATTATTGTGAACAAAAGAAGTCCTTTTTTACAGATTTTATTGATCTTTTTATTGATGTCTTTTTAATTTAACGAATGATTTTTTATCACCGGACTTATTCTCGCAGCTCTGTGAATAGTAGTACGGGGGAGATAACGTACAATCGAGAGCAGCGTTAATGTGCGGAGTTAGCAGCTAGCTAATGGCATGTTTATATCGTTATTCATGATGTGACATAAATCACTTTTTTATTACAAAAAAGATACTTTTGAATTTGTTGAGTTCGCGGCGGAGCTTATATTTTAGAGAAATAAAATTATAGTAAAATTACAAGTGTTATAAGAGAAAGAAGGCGAGAGAGAGAAAGAGAGAGAAGGGGGAGGAATGCAAAGAGGGTGAGGTAAAAAGAGAAAGAAGAAATAACGAAGGAATGCAATAAAGGATTAATAATCCCAGAGTCGTCAAATTTATTCGATAATATTAGGAGATATATATATATATATATATATATATATATATATATATATATATATAACAGCAAAAAAAGAGTAGGTTTCTGTCGGTAAAAGCTGCAAGTATATGTTAAGTGTGATCAAGGATTATCTATTAAACTCATAGAAATATCAATAAAAAAAATCAATAAAAAAGACTTTTTTGTTCATCATTCATTAAATTCAAAGCAATTGTTAATCATTTATTAAAAAGTATTCACTGAAAAAGAGGTTTTTCTGTAAAAAAAACTGCACTTTCATAAAGTTCTTCGGGATTTGGACTATTTTAAGTTTCATATTCGAGTTTAGCAAGCCAAAAAATATAAAGATAACCCAGTTCTATAAATTTTCCTTATGAGCAAATTTTGGCCTTTTTACAGTATTGTTTTTTCCACTGCAGCAAGAATGGCCCAAAAGAAAGAGGATAAGAATTTCCCAAGGTTTTCCCCGATGCAACACTGACGGTAGGTTCCAATTAGAATGCCTAAATTTAAGTCACAATTATTTTGAGGAATCGGACTGCGTCTGCGCGAATTAGATCCCAAGAAATTCCTTATACGTGAAAAGAAAGCTTTCACCGCGATATTTCTCTCGCAAACGAATGTCGTGAGTAACGGTACGCTTAGCGCTTCGCCTGATAACTCGCCGCGACAACTGGCAGGATCGATCAGTGCAATTAACCAGTCGGACCGACGGCGACATTTATATTCCACCAACGTGTCTGTTAATAGGCAAGCTTTGCCGAATTATTTATGATACTTGGCGCGAGCTTCATATCCGCGTCGGTCGCACGCGCAATAATGAAACACGCGGCCGGCTGCGCCGCTTCGTGTATATCGCGATATAGACCGGCTCCCTCTCCCAATAAATTGCCGCTCGACTACGCGGAATTGATGACCGAACGGGATTCCATCGACCGAGAAAGAAGCGCTCCGCAGAGGAAGCCGACGGAAAGAGAAAGGATTCCCGCCCGTTAGCCCGACGTGATATTTACCACTCCGTAATGACATTTACTACCCTTCGCGCGGAACCACGAATCCGATAACGCGCTACCGCGGCGAGTCTCAACAATCGCCGGGCGATTCTTAATTAGCGCGACTCGACGTACAATATTTCTCTCTCTCTCTCTCTCTCTCTCTCTCTCTCTCTCTCTCTCTCTCTCTCTCTCGCATCCATGCGCGCGCGATCGTTGAGTATTATTCCTCCATTATCCCTGCCGTTTCGAACAATACTGTATCTTTAACGACGCCATTGTAACGTTATTCCACGCGCCTAAACGACAGAGCTGTTGTGCGCACACGTGTACACCCTCGACGACTGTTACCTCCCGCACCATAAACGATACCGTAAGCCTTCAGGCGATCGTGAGAAGGGAAGAGGAGGGAGGAGGAGCGAGCAATCAACATCGATTCTACGGGGCTTAGCGCGTCCGCGTAATGACAATTAACGAAATCGAAACAAACGCCGGGCCATAAAGGAAGCTTCAGAATGCCGCGGATCGGCCCGGGCGATACGTCGTCCTCCTTCTCCCCTTCCGCCTCCTCCACGTCGGTGACGTTCATAAATCTTTCGGCTGGTTTACTCCGGCTTTGCTCGCCTTCTGGTCGCGATTAACCCCCCCGGCCATTAGAACGGGCGGCGATGTTTCTTTCACGAGACGCATGCCCTGCCAGGTCCGCCTTGCCACCAGTACTAACCGAGAGAGGACACAC